AACAGCTGCGCCTGACGATCACACGTGCCTGCACTGAAATCCGAGCGCCGTGCCTGAGCCATGCAGGGCATGGTGCTGAACATGCGAACATGTGTGCAGAACAGCTCGGCTCACATTTGCTCTGCACTTGGAAGAAGCTCGGCTGATCCGCCGGCAAACACTGTCATGCAGGTCGGAACAACGGTGCGATCGCCCAAATCTTCAAGGGCTATGGCAGAAAACTCCGAAGCTTCTCGACGATGTGATCGACCGTCGGCCCCTGCATGGCATACGCACCTGCCGGGCTGAGCTGGAGGATGCTCCGGAGCAAAAGACACCGGAGCCGACGTTAACTTCAGTGGAAACCAACAGGGTGATCGCCGCCGAAGTGCGTGAGAACCGCATGTCGGCCCTCATGCGATCACATGCCCCGGCGAGAACCTCGGCCGCATCGTCCTGCTCGGTGAACTCGCCCTCTGGGATCACCTCGATGGCAGAAACCGGCTGATCATACATCTGCTGTGCAGCGGCGGGAGCGTTAGCGATCGTCGAGGAAGCCGATGCTGCGCCCAGCTCGCGAACCGCGTGCCTGGCCGCCATTATGAGCAGCAGGAGCGGCCCGATGTCTTTTTTGGCGGCGACGATCGCGATCGTTGCCCCATCCTCCAAAAAAATCGCCAGAGGCTTCTGCAATCTCCTAAGCAGCCCGAGCCGGGGAGTCTGCGGCTCAGCTTCGGGCCGCGATAGGGGCAGCTGCAGAGAACGACAAGGCTGGTCAAGGATCTAATCCTTCCCTACGCCGACGATCGAAAATCCGGGCCGGTCGGCTGGCGATCAAAATGGCCACTGAAAGAACAGATCGCGGCTGTTCTTACGATCTGTAAACTGACGCCCTAATCCCTACGTGCCAAGCCGATAATTAGGAGACACATACATACATACATACATACATACATCCATGCATGCATGCATGCATGCATGCATGCATGCATGCATGCATGCATGCATGCATGCATGCATGCATATTGATTGATCGTGGTAGCCAAGTGCCATCATTTCACCACCCATGAAGTCCTCAGAACGAAAGGTGACCTTTACATTTTCTGCAGAGCCTCAATTGAATGGCCTGGCTTCTTGCGCAAGTCTTTATCCAAGGTGTTGGTCCGTAAAATGTAAATAGTAAAGTCAATCGGAATTACTTTCGGAGCTTCGAAGAGACCGGGTTCGATTAAAGAAGCGAGCATGAGTTCGCACTCCATACCCTGTAAGAAGTCGCGCGGGCTTGTGCCAGTTGTGGGGTGGTGGTAGGTTTCTGGTTTTGTTCACATGTAAGGCTCGGTAGGGACTCCCTAAACTTCGCGGGTTCGCTCATACATTGCTTTCAACCTGGTGTTTTTTATTTCATGCTCCAGCGTAGCTATTTAAAGAATGAGCCAACGAAAGCACATGATGTCATTAGGTCCGTCGAACAACAAGATGATGCCCTCGGAATAGTATCATCATCGAGACTCAATCTGAAGACAGAGAGTTACAGCTCAGTTTGTACTTCAAAGTGCCTTGGTATGTCAACCCCGAAACACAATGTACTTGTCTAGCCGCAGGTGGTCGATCAGAAAGCTGGATTCTTGGCCGGGCTCCTGCAGGGACTTCGGGGGTCTCAGCGAGGTTCATGCATGTTCATGCAAGTACAAAGGACCTAGCTGCGTTCCAATGCTGCATGGCTCAGCCAGAAGCCACTCCTGCTGACTTTCCACTGGTTCCGCTTGGCCTTGGCAGTGAACATGCTGGTCTGAGGCTTTCCTCCAAGTTTTCCCAGGAGATTGAGGTCTCAGGAATCTCAGAAGAGACGAAATCACGGCAATCGTCCTCTGACATTCTAGGAAGCTTTCAGGCCCCCAGCCCCAAGTGCCCAAAGCTTTGTCTTGGCTGTAAAAGGTTGGGCATGTCGGCAAGACAGAACCAGCGGCCGGCGAGAAAGGACAGGAACTCTTTGCTCTCCTTGTAGCAGCCTGGGACTTCAATTGTTGACCATGGGGCCCGTAGGGGCTAACAGCTCGAGACTCTTGGGAAAAAAGGGCTGAGAACAAGGGATTCTCCTTGGTTCCCAAAAAGGAACAAAGCAAAGCGGCTGCTCCCAAGGGGTGTCAATGCTTTGGGATTCGTTCACTTCTTCTTGGTGGGTTGAAGAGCTTGCCTCTAGAAGCACTAACTTGGGGACTCGTAAAGGAATCCTGCTTCTGACTCCGAAGGTTGGGGCTGGTTTTTCCCGATTGTCAAACAGCCAGAAGCTTGAAGAACACAACCTCCTAGGCCTGCCGCTGTATATGCCGATCAGATACCCGAATTCCTACCTCACAAACTCTGGAACAAACTTTCTGCTGTCTTGACATCACATGCAACAGAAGCCTGAACTACTTCATCCCTGCGGGACACCGCCAACAAGACAAAGCCGCAACCCAGCGCCCACGAGGGAATGAACTCGAAAGGTCTCAACTACTCCCAGCCTTACGCATTAACCCTCACATGCCAACCTTCGGACTTCGAGCCCTGGCGAGAACTCAGCCAAATCTAAACTGTCGCCCAAATGCCGGCGAAGTAGAACATCGCCTGCAGGAAAAGCTAAACCCACGAGAACACAAGGGCTCGAGGCGAGAAGCAGTGCTGATGAAGACACAAGCTCGTGACAATGTAGTCCCAACTCGTAAACAGTAAACCCGTGCCGAGTGTTGGAACAGGCCCCAATCCAGGCCGCAACCACTATCTCTTGCTTCCTTTGAACACGGCATCTGGGTGGTGCATGAACTGCAGTAGGAGGTAGTGGTGGTGGTAGTGGTAGTGG